AAATGTTTAAAAGCCATGAATGTTATAAAAGTGTTGTCACGTACTACGTGGGGTAGTGATAGGCAATGTCTCATGAACCTCTATAGAAGCCTCCTTCGCACCTGCTTAGATTATGGGGCCGTTGTCTATCAATCGGCTACTCAAAGTGCCTCGAAGATGCTGGACCCCGTGCACCATTTGGGCATCCGCCTTTCTACGGGTGCTTTTCCGATATTCACACGGATGCAAGCAATTTAGGTCTTGGGGCCGTGCTCATCCAATGGCAAAACGGACAAGAACGAGTCATTGCGTATGCCGGTCGCACTCTTTCGAAAGCTGAGGTGAACTACTCAGCGACCGAGAAAGAATGCCTTGCCGTGGTATGGGCTATCAGCAAGTTTCGACCATATTTATATGGTAGGCCTTTTCGAGTTATAAGCGACCATCATTCGCTATGCTGGCTGGCTAATCTCAAGGACCCATGTGGACGGCTTGCACGATGGAGCTTGCGATTACAGGAGTATGATATCAGGCTTGTGTACAAGTCAGGTCGCAAGCACAGTGATGCGGACTGCTTGTCACGTGCTCCGATTCAACCTGCTGCTTCTGCTTCCACCGAGGATGGTGAAGATTTTATTTTCTTGGGAGCTGTGACATCATCAGAGATGGCACATCAGCAGCGATCCGACCCTGAGATACTCCTCTTGATCAAGTACCTACAAGGACTGTCTGTCGATGTTCCACGACCTTTTGTCCGCGCCTTGTCAGCGTTTGTCATACGAAACAACATCCTGTATAAAAGGAACTTTGACAACAATACAGCGACATTTCTGCTTGTCGTCCCTTCACCTCTGCGACCAGAGATTTTGGAGGCTTGCCACGACGATCCATCAGCTGGACACTTAGGAGTAAGCAGAACGTTAGCACGCATCCGCACTAAATACTACTGGCCGAAGTTGCTTAGCTCTGTACGACACTATGTCAGAACCTGCCGGGACTGCCAAAGACGTAAAACGCCACCGCTAAAACCAGCACTCCTTCAACCGATAAAACCACCAGAAGCCCCATTCACGCAAGTGGGAATGGACTTACTGGGCCCATTTCCTACGTCATCATCGGGAAAACGGTGGATAATAGTTGCGACCGACTATTTAATCAGATATGCCGAGACAGCGACTCTAGTTAAAGGATCAGCCGTTGAAGTAGCCGAATTCTTCGTCTCCAACATAGTACTGCGGCACGGAGCTCCAAAAGCGTTGATCACGGACCGAGGGACTGCATTTACGGCCAACCTGATGAAATGTATCATGAAATTGACGCACACCAGTCACAGAAAAACGACGGCATATCATCCTCAAGCAAATGGTCTAACGGAACGACTGAACAGAACGATGGCTGATATGTTGTCAATGTACGTTGATATAGAACACCGTACTCGGGATAAAATATTACCCAATGCAACATTCGCCTATAACACTGCGATGCAAGAGCCAACATGGATGACGCCATTCCAACTTCTTTTTGGCCAAACGGTAACGACACCTTTAAATGCAATGTTACCTATTGACGAGACGCCCGAGAATTACTATGACGTTCACGACTACATACAAAGAGCAGAAGAAGCTAGACAGCTGGCACGATATCGCATTCTCCAACAGCAGAAAACCGACACGCATCGATACAATCTGCGAAGAAGAGACGTCCAGTACGCACCAGGAGACAGAGTATGGGTGTGGATTCCTGTACGAATACGTGGCCTGTCAGAAAAACTGCTTCGCCGCTATTTCGGTCCGTACAGAGTGCTCCGCCGCGTCTGCTCGCTCAACTACGAAGTTACGCCAGAGGGACAGGATATTTCATCCCGACGGCGGCATCGCACGGAAACTGTGCATGTCGTCAGGATGAAACCATATCACGACAGGCAATGAAACGCTGAAGATACAACGTTCTCTGACGTTAACGACATCCCCGACGAGAATTTGTGAATGACTGACATGCAACCAGTTTGACACAAGCATCGGGACGATGCACTCTGGAAAGGGGGGCAATGACACAATGTGACTTCAAATTACGCGCGCTAGCAAATACTTGTGCCTTCTAGATGATTTGCGATGCACGAGCCTGCGGGACCCAGCTGCGCGTGAACCGGGTTGAAAGAAAAGAACGTAGAAGAAGAGGCAGAAGGCAATCCTCGAGACAATCTAGCTGTGCTATAATTCTCGGGCACAAGTTCGCCCAGCCTGCGTTAGCTTATTAAAAGAGTTTATTGAAAAGTGCGTTACAAAGGCTGCTGACCCACAGGGCGCGGGTTCGAATCCCGGCTGCGGCGGCTGCATTTCCGATGGAGGCGGAAATGTTGTAGGCCCGTGTGCTCAGATTTGGGTGCACGTTAAAGAACCCCAGGTGGTCTAAATTTCCGGAGCCCTCCACTACGGCGTCTCTCATAATCATGTAGTGGTTTTGGGACGTTAAACCCCACATATCAATCAATCGTTACAAAGGCTGAACTCCTTGATGAACTGAAAGATAAGAATGTCATCCAAGTGCAAAGAATCTAAATAAGGCGCAATGTCCAGGAAGTACCAACAAAACATCTGATTCTCACCTTTGATACTGCCACACTCCCAGAACATATCCAAGCAAGGTACATAAAGATGCGCGTCAGACCATATATACTTAACCCTCGCAAGGGCTTCAAGTGCCAGAAGCTTGGCCACAACTCACACAGCTGCCGTGGCCGCATGTCATGTGCAAAATGTGGGTCTTGTGGGGTCTTGTTGTGAGAGAGAGCACCACCACGCTCTTGGAGTTAACGGATACAGCAGACACGGTCGTAACAACCTAGCCAACAGACATTTATTTAACTAATTTAGAACGACGATATCGTCAGCCAAATTATTATAACATCAATCGTGATCAACACGCTAGGATATCCTTACACAATAGTAAACAACACTCAAAAACATGACAAAGAAGGCGGTATCGCTAACGCCTTACTCACCACGTGGGCCCACCGCAGACAGCCCGCGATGCCGTCCACAGCAGACCCACCGCTGGAGGCAACCATCCGCACCACCGCTCCACGCCAAAAGAGACTAGCTCATTTCTTGCGCACCGCCACCAAGGCTTTCCGCCAAGTGTTACCACCGTTGCTAACGTTTTCTAACGATGCTGATGAAGATAGTAGTGGTCAACTCTCACGAATACAAGGCTACCTACCGCGCGATAGTTGCGACCCCTGAATGTGGCTTCTGCACGAGACACGTGTGTCACGAGGCGGGGGGTGACATCCCCCCAACTTTTACTAACATCATATCCCAAAAGAAAAGAAATCCGCTACACAAGCTCCAACAAAACATTACAACCCATGTCCCTACATAATGTCCATGCACCGCCGCTGATCGACACTGCTGCACTGTCCGGCTCGACGACTTCACCCGCAACAGCAACGTTGCCGTCGGCGCGACAAGCTGTCACTCGCGCCAACACGTCTTCCGTAATTTTTCTTTGCTTGTCCTTGGTAAACATCAAACTGATAAAGAAAGCCAGATGAACCAGCCCGCGCTCACAGTTTTATGACCTAAGGGTGTGGTTTCGTGGGCATGTACTGCTTGATTGGACATCTTCCTGTAAAGGAGATCATGACTTCATCGACGCTGTTCAGATGTTTGGGTTCTACAGTCAGAAAGTTGCGCTGAAACTCATTAACCAAGGAGGAATTTTCCGTACTTTGTTCTTTTTTGTTTCATTAGTGGCTTTGTTGTTGTCTGTGAAGTGCAAAAGGCGCATAATTTTCTCAAATCGATTTCGTGGCATTATGTCGGCAATGGGAGGATACCGCGTTTCATGTTCCCAATAGCTGTGATAACTGGGCATCTGCATGAGTCCCATGAATAAGTAGAGACCCATGAATTGGTCAAGCCGCTCTCAGTGATATTCAGAGATTTTCTAGTCGTATGAGTGCTGTACAGGTTGGTCTCGCGAACTACTTCGCTCATCATTGATGGGGTTACGAACTGTCTGAAGTAAGACAAGAAAGAATGTACTTCGACAGGCTACGTGGATGTGTCTGTAAAAGTAGGGAGGCAGCAATCCATCAAGCGCTTCCTCCAGTGACCCCTGTCCACGGATTCATTGCTGCATTGCGAGATGCTCACATTGTTTCATCCTCTTGTGAGAACTGATCAGAGATGTCAGTATCATCTATAGTAAGCCTGGGTGCATTGTTTGGAATGTATTCATCGTAGTCAGTCAGGTCACCGAAGTCGTCGTCCTCACCCGAAGGCATGCAGGCTATGATACCCTGGGAGCTAAAAAAGAAGTTATATTAGATATATTTGTAGGTAATAGTAACTCTTATCATACATGATACGGACGGTGAAGTTTACGATACGCTGAACACATGTTTCCGTTAGAACACTTTTAAGCATGGCTGCACCAAAGAAACCTATCTTGATCGCACCAGCAAAGGTTTTAGAAAACAAATCAGGTAAAAGATCGAAATATTTACCTTTGTTTTTTTGCGGAACGACCATAAAATGTTCTTAGTGCAATCACCATGCCGCTTGAGCTGGGTGCTGCCATATTCGCCGCAGACGTGAGGCCTCCTCACGGTGAATTTCAGTACTAGTAAAAAACGAAAATGTCTATGATGTCCATGGCCATCGGTCTGCACTGCTGCGGCTCAGGTGTTGGTGAAACAAGCACAGCCACAAATTGCCAATGGACGACGTAGCATATAAGATACGCTGTGCATTACAGGGTTAAAACATATAGAAAGAAATATACATATATTAGTCATGGCACTTTACAAGAAATAGTCGTAGCACTTTACTCTAGAGCACAGAAAATAAGCATGAAGAAAAACTATACATCTTGAAACATTATGTCACTTAGGTTTTTTAAGAAAGAACATACACATTCAGATAAGACAATGGAATTTCAGAATGAACTATGGATAAGACAATATAACATACTAATATCTTCCAAGTATTTTTTACAGAGATTTTTTTTACAGAAGGCTAGTGGTCACCAGGAAAAGGTTGCTGTTGCTCCTGTTCAAAAGACCTTGCTAAGCGCTTTGCAACAGCAAGGTTTTTCTGATGATGCCTCTCTTCTGCCTTCATGCGCTCTGTGTGGTGCCGTTCTCTGTTCTCCTCAGCAGCTTTTAAATAATTTAAAACACCTTCAATTAGGGCCCGGTTTAGGTCTTGCTTCTGTCGCTTAGCTGGAAGGCCCTGTTGCTGCTCCTGCTGTTGCTGTGCCTGCTGCTGCTCCTCCTGTTGCTCCTCCTGCGACAACTCCACTTCCAGGTCTGCGCTCCCTGGTTTCAAAAGACTTGCATTGCGCACTACTTCATCTTCAGTGGCCGTCCCCGCAGGGGCGCCTGCGCAAGTAGGCGTTTGGTGTGTAGCGACACCACGGACCCGAGCTAACGGGGGAGTTTCTACTCCCTCCCACGCCTAGCCGTGCGTGGCTTTGCCGTGTCCGGGGAAAAGGGGATCCTGGGGGTTGAGCCGACGCTGGGTGATTGGACCGTTAAGGCCCCCCGGCAGAGGCAACACACCCTTTTGGCCCTGGCTTCACGTAGACGGCACCCCTGGGCTGACCCACCCAGGGGAAATCGGCAGTCGCCTTTTCCTATCTCTCTCTTCCTACATCTTAGTCTTTTCTCGTCTTTAAATCTGTCCTGTCTTCTTCTCCCTTCCATTTACTTCCGATTTTTCCTGGCGGCAAGGGTTAACCCTGTGTGGCTATCCTACCTTGGATACACCATATTCGGTTATAGTGGTGGTGTACAGCTGGCGTCTGCAGGTCCTGTGCTTACAGACCCTGCAGCGTCCCCTTGTAGGACTCCATGGTGGGTGCCTGGCGCTGCTGCCGAAAATAAACCTTTTCTTATGCCTTGTTCCTTCCCCCCACTTCCTGATCGCCCTCAGAAAAGAGGGTGCACCGATGAAGTATTCCAGTTTTTTGGTCACCAGAGAGTATCCTTTCCCCGATTCCACGTTATCCACGCTGACACACCCGGCAAACCAGTGAGAACTATTTCACCTTTTCTTGTTTCGAAGTCTTTGACAGAAAACTTTGGCCCAGGATATAAAGCATCGAGAATGGCAAGTGGTGACCTCCTGTTGGAGCTCCGCGACCAGAAACAGTATGAAAAATTGTCTAATCTAGTGAAATTTGGAGATACCAAATTAATAGTAACCCCACACCGAACCATGAACACCACCCGTGGCGTTGTTTCAGATGACGACCTGTTAGGGCTGACGGAGGCTGAACTCCTGGAGGGTTTTAGCGAACAGAATGTCATCAACGTGAAACGAATTAGGATGAGGCGCGATGGCGAAGAAATCCAGACTAAGCACCTGATATTTACTTTCCATTCAAGTGTACTGCCCGACTCCGTTGAGGCTGGGTACATCAAGCTTCGAGTGAGGCCATATATACCGAACCCTCTCAGATGTTTTAAATGCCAGCGGTTCGGCCACAGTTCTCAGAACTGCCGAGGCCGCCTAACTTGTGCGAAATGCAGTGCTGATGAACACACATTTGATGCTTGTGAAAACTCTCCTCACTGTGTGAACTGTAACGGGGAGCATGCCGCATACTCACGGTCATGCCCCAGCTGGAAAAAAGAAAAGAAAATTGTCACGATTAAAGTAAAACAAAACATTTCATTTAGGGAGGCACGAAGGCAGGTGTCCTACCTGCCAGAAACCAGCTTTGCCGAAGTGGCGCGTCAGGGGGCAGCGCCACGACGGCCCCCGGCGCCTGTCTGGCACACGTGTAGTGAGCCAGCGGTGACGCCATCCGCCCCCACGGCGGTTGCAGCCAGTGCTGCTCCGCCATCGAAGAAGCACCCACCAACCTCCGGGCTGGGGGCCGCGAAGGCCTTGTATTTAGAGGCGAGGCCCTCAAAACAACCGCAGCGCTCGCAAGAGCGCTTGTCCAGTGCCTCGCTAGAGGCAATGGACACAACTTCGAGCGTGAGGGCGCAGCAAGCGCGTAAGGATCGGCGCGACTCCGTCGACCGATCCAAAAAAGAAAAATCTCGTGTCACGGCCCCTGGAAAGGGTCCGTGAGCTAACTTTCCATCCTTGAGCACACAGCACAAAACACATCTAAAATGGATACACAGATCTTACAGTGGAATGTGAGAGGATTTCTCCATAACCTCGATGATATTTGAGAACTTCTTAATAAACATACTCCAAAGGTGCTGTGTGTTCAGGAGACACATCTCAAGTCCACACAAACAAACTTTCTAAAGCATTATGCCATCTTCTGCAAAGACCGTGACGACGCTGCCGCTTCGTCGGGCGGTGTCGCTATAATAGTTGATAAAGGTGTTGCCTGTAAGCAATTAAACCTCCGAACTTCTCTTGAGGCAGTTGCTGTCCGAGCAGTGCTGTTCGGGAAGCTACTAACAATTACTTCTATTTACATTCCTCCGTGCTATCAACTTTCAAAGACAGAATTTCAAAGCTTCATTGATGAACTTCCTCCGCCATATATAGTTGTTGGTGATCTAAATGCACATAATCCTTTATGGGGCGACTCCCGTTTGGATGCACGAGGACGCCTAATAGAACACTTTCTGTTTTCGTCAGGTGCATGTTTACTTAACAAAAAAGAATCAACATATTATAGCACTACGCACAACACATACTCTTCTATAGACCTGAGTATTGTCTCGAGTACACTAATTCCTTATCTGGAGTGGTCTGTTCTCAAGAACCCCTTTGGGAGTGACCACTTCTCGATAATGTTAAAGTTAACAAAAGAAGATACATGCTCGCCTGACTTTCCTCGCTGGAACACCAAGTCAGCCAACTGGGAACTGTTTCGAGAAATTACATTTTTAGACGGAGATGAGATTGCTGATTTTAATATAGACGATGCTGTAGCATTCCTAACAGGTTTTATTATTGACGCTGCAGTGAAATGTATCAATCAAACCAACGGAATGACCAATAAACGTCGCATTCCATGGTGGAACGACGATTGTCGGAAAGCGCGCAATAGACAAAATAAAGCTTGGAGACTACTCCGAAATCACCCAACAGCTGAAAACCTCAACAATTTCAAACAGGTTAAGTCCCAAGCCAGAAGAACGCGTCGTCTTGCAAAGAAAGAAAGTTGGAATAGGTACATCTCCGGTATAAATTCTTACTCCGACGAAACGAAGGTTTGGAATAGGGTAAACAAGTTAATGGGTCGGGAGACACCCCCTACCTTTGGTAAGTAGCCGAGGGGAGAGCCTGGAGGAGCAGGCGGACTGCCTAGGCGAACACTTTGAATACGTCTCAAGTGCATCAAACTATACAGAAACGTTCTTAAAATTCAAAGAACGCGAAGAGCGACAGCGCCTTAAATGTAAACGTCCATCCAGTGAGTCTTACAACTGCCCATTTACATTAGCTGAACTTAAGGCATCTCTTGCGTGCTGCAACAACTCAGCGCCAGGTGTTGATCGTATAACATACGAAATGGTCAAGTACCTTCACCCCGAAGCACTAAAAACACTCCTAACTTTCTTCAATAACATGTGGGCAGCTGGGTATATTCCATTGTCATAGAAAGAAGCTATAGTCATCCCAGTACTTAAACAAGGCAAAGATCCGTCTTTGGCCGTCAGCTACAGGCCAATAGCGCTAACAAGCTGTCTATGCAAACTATATGAGAAAATGATAAACCGGCGCTTAATCCACTTTTTAGAAAGTAACAGTATACTAGACCCCCTTCAGTGTGGTTTCAGAGAGGGGAGGTCGACAACAGACCACCTTGTTCGCATAGAGACATACATCAGAGATGCATTTATTCATAGGCAGTTTGTACTTTCGGTATTCCTAGACTTAGAGAAGGCGTATGACACCACATGGCGATTTGGGATTCTCCGCGATCTTGTCACCATGGGCATCCGTGGGAACATGCTAAACACACTTAAAAGTTACCTGTCTAACCGAACCTTTCGCGTAAAAGTGGGAAATGCTCTCTCTAGAACTTTTACCCAAGAGACTGGTGTTCCACAAGGAGGTGTGCTTAGTTGCACACTCTTTATTGTAAAAATGAACTCCCTGCAGTCAGTCATTCCAAGTGCGATGTTTTATTCCGTGTATGTTGATGATGTGCAGATGAGTTTCAAATCATGCAATATGTCTGTCTGTGAACGACAAGTGCAGCTTGGATCGAATAAATTCTCTAAATGGGCGGATGAAAACGGTTTTAAAATAAACACGAAGAAAAGTACTTGCATACTTTTCTCCAACAAACGAGGGGTAATGCCACAACCAAATGTTGCGATCAAGGGAGACCAACTCTCTGTAAGCAGCGAGCATAAATTCCTGGGAACCACTTTAGATTCTAAACTTACGTTTATTCCCCATATTAAATATGTCAAAATGAAATGTTTGAAAGCGATGAACGTCCTAAAACTCTTGTCACGTACAACATGGGGTAGTGATCGAAAGTGCCTCTTGAAGTTATACAAAAGCCTTGTCGGGTCGCGCCTTGATTATGCCTCTATAATTTATCATTCCGCAACGCCAAGTGCATTAAAAATCCTAGACCCCGTTCACCATCTGGGTATCCGACTTGCAACCGGTGCTTTCCGGACAAGCCCGATCCAGAGCCTCTATGTAGAGTCGAATCAGTGGTCACTTCACCTGCAGCGATCCTATAGCAGTTTCACATATTTTATAAAGGTACGTGCAAACATCAAGCATCCATCTTATTCAACTATAAACGATATGACCGCTGCCACCCTCTTCCATAATCGACCCATAGTGAGAAATCCGTTCTCCTTGCGTGTGAGAAACTTATGTGAGGAAATGGGTGTTCCGCTGCTGGAACTCTGTCCTACGCCCACAGGGATACTTTTACCGCCGTGGCAGTGGCAGCTTATACACTGTGACACCTCATTTGTTGAGATCACTAAACACGCACCAGAAGCACATATTAAAATGCATTTCCGAGAACTCCAGTCCAACTACTCATGCGTAGAGTTTTATACTGACGCTTCTAAGCCGCATGCAGGGGTGGCTTATGCAGCCGTCGGACCATCCTTTTCGGAATCCGGCGTGCTGCACCCGGAAACAAGTATATTTACGGCTGAGGGTTATGCACTATTGTCCGCTGTGAAGCATATACGGAAATCAAACATACAAAAATCAATTATATTCACAGACTCGTTAAGCGTCGTAAATGCATTAAGATCCCTTTTCAGATTCAGAAATCCGATAATAATTGAGCTATGTTCCGTTCTGTGTACAGCGTATATGTCCAACCAGCATGTTACTATTTGCTGGGTACCTGGCCATAGAAGTATCGAGGGCAATGTGTTAGCTGACCAAATGGCCACGTCAATTATAATGCGCGCTA